TCAATAATAAATTCAACTAATGAGTCTATTCTCACCACTTGTTTCAATTAATAAACATTACTCAATGTTCAACTTTTTTAATTTTAATCCTATAAAACCATTATAATAAAAAACAATATGTTTTAAGCAAAATAATAAATGAAATTGCTGAACCATTTAATGTATTTAGGATGAATAGCATTGTGAGCAGAAAGCGTCTCCGAAGGATTGCTGACATACAGTGGCAACACCATGTTAGTAATGCAGAGGTTCGGCATCGTGTGTTCGGGCTCAGAGACAACAATCCAATTGGTGTCACCATCTTGAAACACCGACTTCGGTAGCTTGGACATGCTTTACGAATGTCGTTCCAGAGAATTCCACGTCGTACATTATTTGCCGACTCTGGGACTGGTTGGAAAAAGCGGAGAGGAGGTCAGTGTATGACATGGTGTCGTGGCATGAAAGAAAGCTGCAAAGGGCTAGCTTCTGTTGGTCCTTCACGACTCTCTGGCTAGGGTCTGAGAGATGGTGCAACACAGTGGCTAGAGACGTTATCAGATATGGCTCAGAATAGAAGCCAGTGGCGATCCTGCTGTAACCTTCTTTTACTTTCTTCATAAAGAGTGGTCATAACTTCCTTAACTGAAAGAGTTCTTCTGGTTGTACATTTCAGCTTCCTCCATCATTGCTCTTATTTTTTTTATAAATGCATCTTACCCCTTTTCTCTTCCCATTCTCATTATTTTGTGTGGCGCATAAATATCTGGTGCCCCTTTGTACCGATATTTATATGTTTAAATAAATGAATAGAGAAACTTTAGGATGAATAAAGGAATAGTCCAATTATTTGTAATTTCAAAAATAGAATCCCTTGTTTTTTTCATTTGTGATAAAATTCATTTTAACTTCCTATAAGTGAATTTTTTGGAAAACAGCAAACCTTTTCCCCCTTAATTTCGAAAATATCAACACAAAAAAAGAAAAATAACCAAAAATATTTATAATTTAGAAAAAAAAGAGAACAGGAATATGTGACAGACACGACACTCGATCATCTATTAAAATTAATTTTAAATATCACTATGTAATGTATGAGGATTTGTTACCAATTTATGTGTGCTGTGGTTACTGTTAGTGATATCATTGACGTAAATGGTGATTGTCTACTATTCATTACATACTATCTCTGACATTATTGCTGTATGTACATATTTAACTGTATGCTAAAATAAAATGCTGAGAGAGGGGAAACAAGTATGCATATATAAAATGGGTAAATAACTGTAAAATATTGCAATAATGGAAAAAAATATTGTAACTAGTACCAGATGGTCGTTTTCAGCTCTTCCATATGACAAGTACACAAAATATGAACACGATTTGAACGAGAAAAAAAACAACTTTCGTCATACCTCTCAAGTGTGTGTGTGTGCTCCTATATTTGAATTTATGTGTATGTAAATACACATTTTCTAGAAAAAATGAAAAATTATTTTCTAGTTGAAATGTATGCACCATTATTGTTCTCAGTTTTTCTTCTAAAGATAACTCTGGTGAAAAATCATCTCACTTCACAGTTATTTCATTAGTACACAGTGTTCTTTTTGGTGAAAATTTATAATGAAAATCACCCTATTCTTATGTCGATGTCGAATACATCGATTAATATGTTGGCACCAATACTATGTTTTACTTCTTAGACATTGAATAAAATCTGTTGATAGTAGCCATTCTACTTTATACTGTCCTAAATTACTTGTATAAATATTGAGTAAAATAATTTCATTCTGTTAAGTTTGAACACCATTTGTTTGTGATATTTTCAGTGTGGGGCAGTCAGACATGTTGGATGAAAAACACAAATAAAATAAAATTCAGCTACTTAAAATTAAATTCTAATATTCAGTATTCATCAACTAAACAAATGGACAAATGACTGTAATCTCTAGGTATGACGCAAAATAGTTTATATGGCGACATTGAGTGTTACTCAATCCATACTAAATTCTTAGATGAGTTTTCGACTTCCGACACAACCATAAAGGCTGTACTTCATTATTTCCCCTTGTTATCAAACTTTCTTTTCTTTTTCAAGATTGATAATAAACTAATGTTTATTTATGTAAATTCGTTAATTTTTATTAAATTACATTGTCTTCTATCTGTCTGATTAGCTGTTTTTTGTTAGCATCAGATAGAAATTTAATCTCATTGATATAATTAAACCATTAACCGACATAATAAACTTCATAGGTATTCTTCAATTACAGTTTACTGCATACATGTTTTATTTGTACCCCTTTATATCTAACCATGGGTATCTGTTTTCAGAAAACTTTTTTTTAAACAGAAAATAAAGGTTTATAATTAGGGAAAAAAGACCAAAGGACGCAAAAGTAATTCACCGTTGATATGAGATAGAGTTGCACAATCTAGCATCCATTTTAGGTTATTTGATATTATCTTATTGGAAGAAAATTCTGTATTTAATGTAAATTAACACATTCTACTGTTGTGGATGGGTGATAGTATTCTGTCTTTCTAGTTTATTTCAGTGATGTCACTAACAGGATATGTTGTATAACGACTAATAAATCTAAAAGCCAGCAGTTAGCACAAACCCAGGTTATACTGATGCTGTAAAATAATAAGTTGATTATATTTTATGATCTATAGTGATAAATTAAAACGTTGTTGGAAATACCGCATCATTAGGCCTCAACATACACAAGGCGAAACGTAAGACTCTAATATACAACACGAAGAACACCAAACAAACCAATCACATTTGATGGAGAAACTCTGGAACAGGTGGAAACACTCACGTATCTGTGTAGCATCATCGATGAACGTGGAGGATCTGATGCAAACGTAAAGAATTAGTGAAGCAAGAACAGCATTTCTACAATTGAAGAATATATGGAATTCAAAACAACTCTCAACCAATATCAAAGTGAGAATCTTCAATATAAACGTCAAGACAATTCTACTGTACAAAGCTGAAGCTTGGAGAACTACCACAACCATCATCAAAAACATACAAGTATTTATAAACAATTGTCTACTCAGGATACTCAATGTCTGTTGACCGGATACTATCAGCAACAACCTACTATGGGAGAGAATAAACCAGCTTCCAGATGAAGAGGAAATTAGGAAAAGACGTTGTAAGTGGATAGGACACATATTGAGGAAATCATCAAATTGCATCATGAGGCAAGCACTAGGTGGGAATCCTGAAGGGAAACGGAAAAGAGGAATGCTAAAGAACATACTGCTTCAGAAATTGAAAGTGGACATGAAAACGATGAATAGCAACTGGAAAGTATTACCCAGGAGGGAATTGAATGAAGCATTCTGGTGGGCGAACTATGGTCCTTTATGAAGAGTAAAAAGCTTTAGTTAAGTTAGACGACCTATATAAATGATGCATATCTTGACAGCATTGATGACTATCAAATTTATTTTGTATGTGTTCAAAGATTTATTTAAATGATATGCTCTCTATTGTTCAAATGTACTGATTATTACATGTACAAGAAAACAAATTAATTAAACTGGACATAACCTCTTGTACTCCATTCTATATGAAATGATCAGCAATAGGATAAGTCAGTACAATGTTAGTCAATGAGATAACAATTGTTCTGAGAGTTCAAGTCAACCCCTTCAAAATGGAAGTTTAAGAAGTATATTTCTTTCACTTAAAGTGTTTATTAATTGACCTTAATTGATTACCCATTGTCTACTGAAGTTGTATTAGTATTTAATGTATATGTGGTTGCTCTCAAAAACGCCGTCTTAACAAGATTAGTTTAATACGATCTTGCAGGGTAGATATTGACTCAGACAAAAAGGTTTATGTTTCATGCAAAGTCAAGTTGAATCATCATTTTTTGTGATACATAAATCTCTAAAATTTATCTTAATCAACAAATTATTTTCAAATGAACTGAAAAGCCTATTTGATTGGTCTTGCATTAGTCACATGTGATAAAAGAATCATTGAAGAACATCACATGAATTTGCATTTATTATTCAGTTGTATTTCGGAAAAAATTTTACACTTGATGAACTGATCACAACAACACTTCTATTTGTTAGTACTAATTCCAATCAAAATGTAGTTGGACATTTTTCCTCTGTGAAGACAAATTGTCTAGTTCTGTTTACACTAAACCAATCTTATCAGCATTTATGTGGTCTCGTCAAATAGAACATACGTAACTAAAGGCTCCACATTGAAAAAAGTTATATTATTTATGATTATACCGGCACCCAATTTGTGAACATATCCTTGGATTTAATAATGAGTTGAAGCTTGCCACTAAATTGATTTTTACTTGAACAAATGTTCACGATTCAAACAGTTAAAGAATAATGAGACTTCAACAAACATTGCATAAAGAAATATTGATTTGGTGCTAAGTGGTTGTAGTTAGTAACTCAAAGGGCCTGGCTGGTTGACCTAGGCCGTATCTTTGTTGACATGTGAACCTCTGCCAAGGAAGTTACCACCAGGAAGTCCAGGTAACAAGTGGCCCCCTATAGGATTACGATGGCTACACAGATTGATCACTGAGTAATAACCTACCAAATATTTGTTCAGTCTGTATTGTTGAGTACCAGCTTTGGTTCGGGCACCCGGGTAGTATCACTGCCCTCACACAAATCAAATGAGATTTGTGTGGCGCATATATATCTGGTGCCCCTTTGTACCAATATTTATGTGTTTAAATAAATAAATAAAATTGCTGAGTGGATTCTGTCGATCTAGTTTCTTTATACTGCTATAATTCATTTGAAACAATGAAACTGGGTGACACAACTTAGTATTCTATCGACAGTATTAGTTTCATCAAGATTCTGAATACCTGTGCTTAGTTAACAAGTGTCAACTAGTACGAAAAACTACGACTAAACCTTTACCCCCGACTTCTTCAAACCACCCGAACAGTATACGAAAAATATGTCTCCTATTCATCTAATTTTCATCAAAATACATTGAAATTCATTTTACTATAAGAATTTATTTATACTGAACAATGTACAAAGGAATAATACAATACTGATCCCGATTGAATTAATCAGAATAATGATAGTAACAATAATAATTATAATAATATAAATCAATAACAGCCTTCATATTCTCGCGTACAAATAGAAAACCCGTGGACTGTTCTATGTGTGGGTGTGTGATAAACGTCACAAAAACCTAAGAAGATGATAAAACAAAGAAGACGGCGTAAGAAGAAAAGCGAAACGGAAATAAATCTGTCAACAAGTGAATGTGTTTATTTGTTGCTTATTACTTTTGAAAAAAGAAAGGATAATATAAATAAATAAGCATACAAATATCAAATATGAACATATGTACGTATGCATGTCTGTCTATATATAGATATATAAATTGTTTTATATAACAAATCAAGGCGCTCAATGAGATATTTATTCATATATTTGAAATTTTATAGGGAAAAAACATAAAAAAGACGGGTAACAGAGAAAAAAAACAATGATAATAACTGGATGGGACGACAGCAATAACCAGTGAAATAAAACAGAAAACAAAACAGATAAGACGAAGTTAACAGGAGAAATTACACAGGACGAAACTGAACAAAATGTATCAGATAACTATTTGGCTTATTTTTAATGAAGAAATGTTCGACAAATAACGCCCCACAATGATACTGGAAAAAAAGTGACTAGTCAAGGAAGAAAGGAGTAAAAATAACTTAGTATACAATGAGATGACTGTAAATTGGTCCATCTCACCTACCTCTTCGGTTTTTTATGCATAAAAAATGAATCTGAAATAGAAATGAATCTACAAAGAAAAAACCCAGGAGTACAATATAAGCAGTGGAAATTAATAATAGCATTAGTCGATTCAGTCTACACCTACCCTCCTCCGTGTGTAAGAAAAAAACAGAAGAGAAAATGTAAACAAAAATTCCAGTCAGTAAGTAAAGATTATGTAACATCCTCAAAAGTTCGTTGTTTTATGAAACTTAATTGGTCTGTTCACATTATAATTAAAATTTCAAAAAAAGAAAAAAGAAACTCGGTAATCGTAAATAGAACAACTCTAATTATATAAACGTATACATATACAAACATTGTATTATTATAATAATGTAGGATAATGATTGTGATCGGATATGAAATGTACATGACCAAAACATATATATATATATATATATATATATATATTCAACCATAGTTATTGTATATGAACATAAATTACATGACTATTTTTCTGGGAGGAGGGTATCATAAATACATGAGTGCACTTGTGATATGAAGATATTATTATTATAGCTGTTGATATTTTGACAAGATTTACACAATTACATCGATCATTGAAGTAACTGATCATTCAGTAAACACGTACACATCATGATGGTCTAACAATAATTATACTTTTCTTCGTAAAAAAAATTTACACAAACAATAGAAAACACAATCTACAGGACTTGATTTGTTGATTATTTTCATTATGTATCATACACACATTGTTTATAAATTTTGATAAGAAAAAAACAACTTCAATAATTAAAAAGGGGTGTTTACAAATTAGAAAAGACATATTTTCTGGAGTCAAAAAGATAACAAAACGACGGTAAAGTTTAGTTTTTCTGGTAATCGTTATACAAATAATAATAGGAGGTTACACTCAAATATGTATTGTGTGTTGTGACTCCTATGTGTGTGTGTGTCAAATATTTCCATAACAATAGTAACGGTAATGATAATAGAACTATAATCATCACAGGGAAAACAAATTAGAATTTCGTCAAACCAATCAAAAAAGTGGATGTATTCACAAAGAGAACAATATATTGAACCGTACATATGTATATTGACTTTTCAAATTTCATCATTCATATGCTGAATCAAACAAACGATAATTAAAATAAAAATTAGGGGAAACTCCAACCGTAATAACAACATATGATCGGTTAATAATAGAAAAAATTTCTGATCATTTAAGAAATATAGGAAGAAGAACTTTTTCTACCTATTTGGGGTGATAGTGGTTGTCTGTTGCATTGTGAAATTGTTTAAATCTTTCATATTCTCATCACCATGGTGATGATAAAAGTGATTTGAACTAGCAGGAGTAGTAGTAGTAGTCAGAGCAGACTGATAATGAATGTTGGATATTGAGTTATCTCTATTCGCCAATATAATTCCGCCACTAGCTACACCATTGCCAGATCGTAAGCCGATTGTTCGAATCGGTATTAAATGTGTTCCCAGTGGTGTTTGCAGTGTTGCTGCTGTTGTTGCTGGTGAAGCACCACCACCAGCAGTAAATGGTAAAAACACTGTAGGATTTTTATGAATTAAATTTGGAGAAATGTTGTCATTATTATTATTATCGTCGTCGCCATGTTTTTTATGCGTTAAATAATACATACCACTGGAATCTAAACTCTCTGAGAGATTTTCATTATTTATACTACTACTTTGTGTATTGTTATGAGTACTATCAGATGATGTTGCTGCCGCCATTTGTACTGTCCCTGTGATAGGAGTAGATAATTTAGGAATACCATTAAAATTTAGCTGACACTGATTTGGATCATTATTATAATTTGATGGCCAAAAACATGAGTTCATATGTTGTGGTACACAATAAGTTTCCATTAATTGCTTATATTTATTTGTTGCATCACAACAACTATCAAAAGTAGTTTTTGAGATGACAGAATTTCTAAGATCATTTGGACCTAAACTTATTGTTCCACTTCCCGTACCACTAAATAATGAAGCACTTGCATATTCTGGCATTGGACTGTCTATAACAAAGAATATGAGAAGAGAATAGAAATTAAAATGTGTCCATGTGTGTTAAATAGTAAAAAAGTAATTATCATGTTTTAAGCATAACTATTTAGTTAGAATAGTTAGTTAGAATAGATCGATTGTGGCTATTCGTGGAATCAGATTCCTGTTTTGTACTATATATGACTGATCAAACGGATGTATTATCGTAAAGACAGTGTTCGACTTTTAATCGTTTCCTAATTTAATTCCACAACATCGTGAGCCCTAAATTTATACAATAAAATTATTCTTATATCATATGGATAATTAGAATAAGGTGACATGGAATCGTACTTATTTACGTCAACTGCGAATACCTGAACTAATAAAACTCAGTAACAACTCAAAATATGACTTAAGAAGGTTGACACGATGAATAAACAATTCGGTCAAACTAGCCAGTTCGTCAGTAGTTATCAACAAAATAAAGCTAAATACACAATTATATGTTCAATGAAGAAATATTTTCACAATAATACATAATACAAGAAGAAATAGTCTACTTTTAAGTATTTTCATTATGCCTTAGATCTGAATTTTCTAAATTCTTTGAAAATTCTTTTCATTATTTCCCTAATTTATATTTTCTTCTCGACTTGTTTCTTTGATGTCTTATATTCCCTATTCCCAATACTACAGTTACTAACTCTAGTACTTCGGAATTCTCCCTGATAATTTCATTTCTCTGTGTTAATGGGTTATAGTAGCTTGAGCCAGTGTACACATATGTCAGGTTCTGTGTTGCATTTGATTAACTAAATTTGAAGTTTAGAACCAATACATACATACAGAGTGAACATTATAAAATCAAACTCAATACATAATTCATACAAATTTGATGAACCTATATGGAACCTTTTTTTTACCATAACTTACCATTCATTACAGAATCGTTGAAAACTATTAAGGAATGGTAGAGCGACTGTCAACCTATTACTCTAAGTATCTGTAGAAATATAATATTATTAAGAGCATGAATCGATCGATGTTAGACCATCATTGAAAAGTTGAAAGCACTGGACTACCCTTCGTTCCAGTTTGGGATTCCTCAACAGAGCGCATCCACGACCACGAACGTGCCATTCGAGTCCAGGAAACTCTATCTTGCGCGCGAACTCAACCTTCAGAACACTGAGACGGCATTTACTCACTGAAGACAATGGTGGATGGTCGCACAATATCGTGGACTGGCTGAAGTTAGACATTAACATCGTTGAATGCCGGTTCAATCGTCTAGAGGCTAAGCGTTCGCGCGCGAGACCAAAGGTCCTGAGCTCAAATCCTAAGTATAGGATCGTGGATGAGCACTGCTGGGGAGTCCGGAACTGAGACGAAACCACCGTCCAGTGCTTTCAGGTTTTCAATGGTGGTATGACATCAATCGATTCATGATCTCAATCAAAAACTTAACAACCTTCAACAACCCCATACTGATAATAATATTATTAGTCAATCATCTTAGAATATTCTAGGTATCATAATTACTTAATTGTCTAGACTCATTCAGCTCTCAGAAAACTTCCAGTCATAATACAGTCATTATCTAGTGTCATTGATGAGTAGCTATTTCATTCTCCACTTGATTTTCTTTCTCTCAATACATAGCTGTTTCCAGTCCCCTACCCGTATAAATAGAGAATATCCATCTCAATTATTATTTTATCCTTATGGACCTTATTTTACCATTCCAACTCTTATAACGTTAGTGTATTATTATGAATACTATTATCATCACCGATAAGTGAGAATCCATCTTGTGAGGATTGCTTCAACATTCCAATTAAGTCGCAAGCATTTTGAGCAGATATAGATGGTAGCTAGGAATGGAATACAGGACACGCATTTAGTCCTGTTTGGGACTTGTCAGTTAAAGGTACCTGTATTCCAGGGTTGACGCTCATTCAATTGCAATTCTAAACATCAACCAATAAATATGAATTAGAATTCACCCCTTTGCACAAACAATTGGCTATCTGGACTCAGTAGCTAAATGGATGAGCCAATGACTTTTGAAGAGAACGATACTGGGTTCCAGTCCCGGAGTGAACATCAACTCTGGAATGTAGATACATCCAGTTGATGAGTCCCAAACAGGATACAGAGAGTCCTGGATTCTACTGCTAGCAACTACTCATCTTTGCTTAACATTTAACGGTTGATAATTTCCACCTGAATATCTGCTATACATGTCTAGAGAATTTACTTGATAGTAATGATAATGGTGACAATCGTGATTATTCCACAGTATTCTACAAACTCAATAATTAATTTTTATGTGTAAATAAGAGAAGAGCGAATTATAGTATTACACATAACACTCATAACTAAATATATGGATAGATAGATAGATATCAATGAATAGATATAACATACCTATGGATAGTATAAAACTATTTTCAGTTGGATATGCTTGTGAGGCAAATGAGGACGATACAGTGGCTGCGGTAGCAGCATACGGAAAAACAGACGACAATGATGTGTTAATCAATAGACGATTATTTGCATTATTCGAATCCGATGATAAATTCGGCAAAGGCGGTAAAGGTTGATCTGGTGGAGGAGGTGGGAGTAACGATGAATGCGGGGCACCAAAAGTAGTATTCATTATACCATTGTTAACATTATTATTACTGTTTTGTGAACAGAGTAGATTACCTTTTAGTTGAGGTGCAAAATTACAACTTGTAGGTGGTAAATTTACACCGATTACTTTATTATCTGTTCCTAGTGTAACCATTGGATGTACAGCGAAAACACCAGGACTATTGTTATTATTACTACTATTGTCAGATAATCCACGACGAGCTAATGTCAAACTATTCAATGCAGAAAAATTTGATCCAACCGTTGGACCGTGTTGTAATAACTGAAAAGCTAGCAGACCATCTAGAATGTTTGTTATTAAAAAAAGAAAATATTAACATTTCGTGGTTCAAAATAATGTAAGAAATTTATAAAGTAACTCTTTTTTTAAAAACTTTTCACATTACGGACTGGATCTGATTAGACAACTAGAAAAACACTAGACAGCTGTTTACTCCCAGTACGGGACTCCTCAGGAGTGCGTGACTCACAGTCTCATCGAGGATTGAATCCAAAACCTTCAAGCCTCGCAATGCATATTTAACCTTCAAACGAATAGTTTATATTCTTAAAGTCATTTATTTGCTATACTAGTACAAAACAGCTGTCCAATCCCCCTCTAGTTTGCAATGTTTGTCTAACCAAAAACAGTTCGTAATATGAAATCCAACAATCTCTAAAACGCCCAAAAGTTAGAAAAAAAAGTGTTTAAAGTTAACCGGCAAAATAGAAAGTTGTGATTTCATGGTTGCTAATATTCCTTTTTAAAACTTTGAATGAAATCCATGCTTTCTTTCATGTTGGATTTAAAATGCACTACTTAAAAATTTAAGTCACAAACGTTAACTGTAAAGTATTCAGACTTTACATACATTACAATCTCCAAATGCCATGGTACGGTCAAGAGTGGGGAGAGTCCGCTCTCCCTCTACAAATGCTCTCACATGGCCACGCGAATATATAGCCTCTGTCAGGGAAGTCCTACTCACTGCCTTCTCGTGGCACTACTGTTGTTTACGAAATTGAGAGGACGAAAAGAGAATGTCCGGCAAGAGCAGTAACCGGGTTGGTGGATATAGAGGATCCACCTAGGGGAGTTGGAAAACCCTGATTCCAAACCAATAATGCACATGGGCTCCAGTGTCCTGAAGGAACAAATGGCGTATGAACCAATTGTTGGTCACCGGCTAAAATGGGACTGCATCTCCTCACGATGCTCCACTGCCTTGTGGACTAGACCTTCAGGCCAAAGGCTCGGGGTGCGGCCCCCTAAGAAAATCACCTGCTTCGGTTTGGGCACCTGGGCAGTATCACAGCCCGCGCACAAATCGAATGATATTTGTGAGGCACATATTTATCTGGTGCTTCCCTGTACCAATATTTATGTGTTGAAATAAATAAATAAATAAATATACATTACAATATTCATAATGTGTTAATCATCAGTATTGATAGAATCCTATTGATTGACTTGTACAATGTAAATAGAGTAGATCATTACACGTAACACTTTCTCAAATAGATAAATAGATTTTACCTACAATCAAAGGTGAAACAACTGTCTTCTTCAGGAGTTATTATTATTAACAATAGAAATTCATTAGCACAATAAAGATTATAATTCCGATAAAATAATGTATACATGTTATCAAATAATCAAAAAACACCCACTACTGTATTATCTTGGATTACTCAACTACCCTAACAACTAAAATACTACGCCAATCCAATACAACACACACTAGGCTCTTATCACAGAAATAACTTTATAATACGCATAACTTAGTAGTAATTGAAGAAAACTACTTAAATAACACATGTTGACTTTAATTGTTATTTCCCAGTTGAAAGAGAAACATTAATGATTGTATTATCATTATTCTGTCTGCGATTGGGGCATTCTTAAGTTAAAAATCCTATACGTTAATTGTGAACCAATACTACTGCCACTAACACAACTCACTGACTCACCATCTCTCCCTCTCTGTGTCTGTCTGATTGTTAGTTAATAACCTAATCCTAATTATAATTGTCATACTAACTGATAAATATTATCTTGGATACAAGAATAAATAAGTAGTTGACCTACTACTACTACCATCATCGCCACCACCCCATGTGGGCAGAACCAAGTTATTATTTTCTCACATTATCAGTAAGATTTTTTATGATTGCAAATATTTATTGAGACGTTTAAATTGTTAACAGGCCAAATAATATAGTTTGTAAGGCAACCAAATTATAACTTAGATAGAATTCAAAAAGAATACATTAACACGTGTGTCTCTATGATTGTGTATACATACATAGGTAGACATGCATGTACTTAACTGGGAATGCTTTATTCATTCAACAATAAACTTATTTATGTGGAGATAAATAAATTTACAAATAACTAGACTAAAATAATCTCGGTCTCATATCATTTTAAAAATACCCCGCCCTCAATCTCCAACCCGTTTATAGTCAAACTTCTGGCTGAAAAAAGAACTTCTTATGCTAATTACTAATACCACTATCAAGCTACCGGTCTTTATATATATATATATATATATATATATATATATATATATATACTTCTTAATTAACTTGTTATTCAATGAAAATAATAAACGATGTAATAAACCATATAGCAGTAAAAAGAGGAAAACAACCAATCATATGACAGGTTTATTATGGAGCCACAATACTTAATAAATCAACAAAGGCAGACAGAAACCAAGACGAGATAATACCAACAATAAAAACGACAACAACAGAAGAAAACTCCTTCGAGTCATTTGTAAAATTCGGTCGGTGAAATAGAGTTCATCACATACGTCAAAAATGTTCATTGAGTATGCAACAGAGTGCACAAGATATAACTATCTCTGCTAATATGTAGGGAGAAAGAACATGGGACGAATCACGATTGCTTATTGAGGAATGTAGTTCGGAAAGATTAAATGTAGCAAATACAATTTATTAGACCAGGATTCAACTAATCAGCAACTCATAGTAACTATATTCAAATTAACAATGTTGGTATGCCTATCATCAAAATGACTCCTATTACATGTCTTTTCGTTTTACGTAATAATTGGAGTCTGTAAATTTTATGACTATAAATCAAATCATCGTAAGGTTACTTCCTTGTATGTGATTAATAATAATAATAATAGCAATAATAATAATAATCTCAACAACTTATTTACGAAATGTGAAGGCGCCACTAAGAATTTAAAAAGTTCGTCACACGTGTCAAGTCGAAACATTTCATTTATGAAATATGATAGTAGCAGTGGTGGTAATAAAATAATCCATCAGGGAAGTTAATCAGTGTTTGCCAATAACGAAGAACAACGAAAATCATGTACTTCACCGTGACAATATGAGTTGCAATCATCCAACTTGTAATATCGCGATGTAATATGTGGTAATGATTTGTGACGTATTATCCAATATTGTGTATCATTAACAAAACTATCAACTACTGTACGATAATTCGTTATTATTATTACATGAATGTGGAAAGTATTAAGAACTAGACCTGTTTAAAATTTAAGGAAAAGCGGAAATTAAACTGATTGGGTAGCTAAGATGAAATATCGATTAGGGAGAGAAAAAGAGAGGTAAATGATCTTTGTAGTTTGTCATCTTTTTTTAGACTGAGGTGACCCGCAATGTTTTCAATGTTCAACATGTGTCTGTTATCCTGTACTTTTCAGTCATCTGCCCGTCCATTTAGTGAATGAATCTTTCATACCATAGTAGTTTTTATTAAACTTCTGATGGTGTTTAAGACCGCATATAATGATTATGTCAGTGTAGCACAGACCAATATATCAGATGAAAAATACAAATAACAGTATGAAAGTCTAGATTTGAGATGAAATCCTCAGTGAAAATTAAGTTGTAACATGGACCGTTCATTCATTAAATGAACGGTAAAATAGTTGAATACCTTACTTGACCTACCTAGACCATGTTTATTGAGCACTGAAAACATGACTCATAATGTCACCATATAGAGGAAGGAAATCCTAATGAGATGGCTTAGACACATACAAAAAGGACTGGGATTTGAAGCTGACTAAAGTTATTTTTCCTATCAAGACTGATTAAGATAAACGCAAAAATACCATTTAGTCGGATGTGTGTCATTATGAGTCATTAAAAAAATGCATCAAGTCAGTGACAAGAGAACACGCGATTTGTAGAATAAATGAGTCAGTCACAAAACAAATGACAAACTAATCACAATGCGTCATTATCTATTGTAAATTGAACAAAAATAAGTGTGACAATGACAGTAATGTATAAACAACCTGAACCCATATGGGAATGAAGTTAACAATTAAACAACCACAACTTCATTGTCGTTATCAGATTACCTTGATCAATTCCATTAGTTGAGTATGGAGCACAAATTGTTCCAGCTTGTTGATGATGAGTCAACATTTCAGAATAACCTTGAGATAAAGCTCCAGCCAAATGATTATAATTATTATGCATATCCATAATCGTTGGAGTTTGTAAGAGGCTGACAACATTGGGATGCACCATCTTATTACCGTTATTGTTATTACTATGAATATCAGTAGTATAATGATTCCCATTAGACAATTTTAACTGGTTATATTGATGTAATGATGATGTAGGAATGATGCTAGGGATAGAAGTTGGTGCTGATGTAGATGATGATAAACAAGAAGAAGAAGGAGGAGTAGACAGGGTAGATGACAAAGAATTTTGATTTTGTCTCGCTGTTGTAAGAAGTAAATGTTGATGGTGCATAGATGATTGTTTGTCTAAAGTATGTGGGAGTTTTTGTTGTTTCTGTAATTTTTTCAAACGTCTTCTTCGATAACGTTTCAACCGAAATATCATAAATGCAAAAAAGCATGCAAATGCAAATGAGCCTAAACAACAACATATAATTGCAATGATATATGGTACATTTGATCCTCTCAATTTGAATGTTGCACTAATCGGTGTGTCAAGTGGTGAAGACGATGTTGTTGATGACGCAGCAGTGGACAATGTAACTTGTGCTAATAATACTGATGATGATGGCTTCTCAATGTCGAGATCTGTGAACAAGTCAAAAAAGTAATGGAAAATAATAACTGAGACGACATATAAAATTTTCACTGAGTACCTCTGCAAAGATATCAAATAACACTGAAAGTATAGTCCTAATGAATAGATACGATCTGTGTTGGAATCGCACAGTTATAGTCAATCAATGAAATGTTCAATGTATTTGTCACAACGAACGAACAGTTATAAATCTATTTGTATCGTTATAGGTAAGCATCATGGAGGTGAGGAAGTAAATTTAAGTGGCCCTATATATGACTCCAGTTAAATCGTATGCTGATTATCATCAAAATATAAATGTCACCAACCCTCGTATATTTTTCGTCAACCTAAATCGTGATAGTGAATAACGGGATTAATTAAGTCAAATACTAGAAAGGATTTTGAATACGTATATTTCATACAATTGTTGATCTGGACAGACAATCACAGAGAAGGGGTGAAGAGAGAAGCGGGACGAAACGAAGTGACGCTCAGTGGAGAAGGCGAGTGAACCAGCTAGTTTTGATCAAGCGTGACTCAATATTTATAGTCAAACCAAAAATAAGTTACATACACAATGAATATGATAAGCAATAAACACATACAATCATATAAAAACAGGGTTAATAAGTGACAAGGTCAAAATGTGGCTTGAATGAATATATTGGTCTGTCCATAAGCTAGGATACTCTATGTGGGCTTGATATAGAAACAGCCACTACAAAATCTCTGCGTGAAATACTTGTGTTAGTCAGAATACACATTGGTACTGATTTCTAGTTTTAGCCCATTTACCAATTACAGGTCTTATGTTAGGCAGTTGCAGGAAGTTGACAGAAAATCTTGGTACTAAGTTTCGTGTTTGTTAGCACTCTTTAAATAGACGTACCCATGAAATCATGCGGGAATTGATACTTTTTGTGGGATTCAAACACGCATCATCCAGTTTTACATTTTGAGACATTGCCACTAAAATGTTCGGGTTGCGACTAACCCCTAATAAGACCAAAATGTCTCTACATGTAGTTAATTTTTGGGTAGTAATTAAAGTAGTGTCTAATCATTTAGTGTTAATCGAATTTTATCGATAAAGTTGGAATGTGACAACGAATGCGAGAGAGTATAATGCTTAGGTCCAGAGTCTTTTGTTAACTACATCCACCCTCTAATATCTCACAAAAGTGCACTTAATGCCAAATCAATTAGATGTAATGGCCTACTGTAACTTGGTCGACTGAATTCGATTGACACTAAATAATTAGAAGGGGTTTTGTGGAGAATTTAGTATTTTCATAGTTTAAATCATTATTCAATTGAAGCTAGACCACCATGGAAAACCTGGAATCACTGGACGGCCGTTTCGTCCTATTATGGGACTCCTCAGCAGTGTGACATGACATTGATTACTACTCAGTGATCAGTTATTTATACATGGTTATATACACGGTTTTGAGGCACACTATATATGTGGTGTTAATAATACTCGATTGTCTATATTGATTTAAATAGAGAAGGGTTTTAACCTGTGATTTACTTACTAGCATTAGTTGACGGTCGACTGCTTTACACAAGCAATGATTCACTGAAAAACTGTAAGTAAATGATCATAAATCTTGAAGTAGAAAACAACTACCACATTTATCAAACATACATCGGTGCAACTGCTATACACCACACATGAGACATCTCACCAAATATTATGCTATTTTAAACATCTTACCTTTTTGTACCGAAGGTGAATTCTTCATGGTTAAACTTTGTGCTTGATCAGATGATGATGGTTTCGACATAATCGATAGCCTTTCCGCTTCTGAGTCAATATCACTTGAATCAAAATCAGCAGTCTTTTGAATAGGATCATCAGATTGTTCTGTTTGTAAAACAACTTCATCTGATAAATAAGCTGAAATAGGTAAAAAGTTATATATATAGGGAAATTATCCCAATACGCAAAATATGATTGGATATTAATTAAATAAACAAATTGTGTAAAAATGTATATGTTTTATTACTTAATCACTGATATCTTTCTGCAAATGATTATACTCGTGTGTATATGATATGGCGAGCAGTGAGTAAATCAGTCAGTTAGTCTACACCCCAGAACCTGGAGCATTTATTTACTACCTCGAGTTGCCTCACCACATTAGCACAACAATATGAAATTTTCAAGATAAATGCCAGAATGTTGGGAGCAGTAACAGTAGTCAATAATAGTAGGAAAGATTAGGTATAGGCAATAATTAAAGAATAAATTCGTCGGACAAAAAGTTTAGCTTTTACAATTCAAGATCTAAAGGAAGACAAAAAATGAACGAATCACGAGGGCTCTGACCAGATTGGTTTGCATATACTTACATAACCAAGTTTGATAGTCAATAACTACGTGGACGGGTTTTGTTTTGACCACCGCTAGCTTTCTTCCAAACTAACCTTACATCAGTAACATCGTGCACCGAGGTAAGCATTTTTTGGGCATACATGATACACATCTCAACCAGTTCAGTCGATGAAGATCCATCTTTGTCTATTATCCTGTACCTAACTTCAAAGTTTTTCATTCCATATTTTCAAACTACGCAGGAAATACTTCAACTGGATTAAGTAAGTGTTGTTCATTTGAAGAATATAATCCCGAATGTGTTTAGAGATTTGTAGTGACAACATATATTCATATTCAAACCATAACACATCTCGCATTACCTTGATGACTGAATTGTGCACATAATAAACACTATTATAATAGTCGTAATTATTTGAAAAGATGATAATTGTCAACTCATTAAAATACATATAAATAAACAATTCAATTAATAATCATATCACAACTTAAGGAATAAATGGCTTTCTTGAATAAAAAAAATTGAAATCTGTTCATTTCTATATAGATAGATATGTTTATTTACAAGATCGAAAATGTGGTCACGTACGACCATCCTGTATGTAAATAACAAACTACTTACCTACCTATATGTGTATACATTTAGACAAATTCAAATATACACATACACATAAGTGTATACATATATTAGCAATTAGACAATCAAACAAACAGTACTAGTATTAGTCAACTCGCTAGACAATAGGAGACAATTTTGTACATGAAGAAAAAAAAAGTAGAATGTATTCTTTTTTTGTCGTAATTCGAGAATAACTTCTGATTCTTGTTATTAAACAAGAAATAAAGAAGACAAAACAAAGGAGTCAACATGATTTGACATTAACAAAACGAAGACAAATACCCATATATAGCGATAACAAAGTAAACAAATAAATAAACACTAACATTAAATATTGCTTTGAGTCGAAACATGTTTTCGTCTTAGAGATTATGTTTACAAATCTCTCAATTATCATTATCATCAGTAAAATTATTGTTGTGTTTATCATCATTGTTATCGGTACATATGTTCTTGGTATCTATTTCTATCAGATATTTTAAGTTTACATAAAAAAATACTACTAGTTTAACTTCCTCTTATTGATGATCACAAATAAAATGATCGTTATTGGCAGCATGCTTGAATATCTGGGTTACCTGTTCCTGTCATCTAGATATTCCAACAAGTTATCTTATTTTTGTTTTTTAACACATCCTTACGTCTATTAATCGCATAACCTATTCAGGCGCGTTTATGAAAAGTTTACGACCTTTCGCTGTACAAGTTACAAAAAAGCCCAATCAGAGACATCGTGGTTGTTGGTAATATACATTGAAAAGAATGAACATTATACATATGTCGATTCCGGAACTGCTAACATCTAACTGGTGAACACCCAATATTTATTGTCAGAATCAATCAGGAAATAAGAAATGTGACATTAACACCGTTGGATGCCAGCTCAGTGGTCTATCGGTTAAGGGCTTCGGCTCGAAACTGGTAGGTCCTGGGTTCGAATCCCGCGAGAGTGGGTTCATGGATGCGCACTGCTGAGGAGTCCCATAATAGGACGAAACGGCCGTCCAGTGCTTCCAGGTTTTCCATGGTGGTCTAGCTTCAATTGACTCACGATCTCAACTCTATAACTTACTAAAATCTCCACAAAACCCCTTCTGAAAATAAGAAATGTATTAAATCTAACCATTTGTTACGATTACAAAAAATGTATATCTATGATGATTAGCCTGATACGCATGTTATTGACTATTTAATAACTTAGTCAAGGCACTGCATGTGAATAATGACGAACCATCACCCATGAAAAAAACGATTTCACGTCCATATCCTTATTTGTTGTATTAGTGGTTTTGACAAAAGTTATTTGTGTGTTTCATATGAAATTTAGCAAGAACTCGAGTAAAGCTTATGGGAATTCATGAATGATACTTATGAATATGTTGCTATCACTAAATAAAAATAATTCACAAATCGGAATCCAGTAGATTAACACTCACAACAGTAGATACAGTCAATGACAGAATGTGATCAATATCCAATGTCGTCGTTATTTTACGATTAACTAACACCTATAGTGAGAAACTGTTTCCCGTTTATAGAACAGATGGAATGTGTCTAGTTGTAGAATCGAAGAAGCGCATTTCATCTTATATGGGGCTTATCATCTGGATATACCCGAAGCCCAGACTTGACTCTCACTCCGGGACTAGAACAGAATACAATTCGTTTTAAACACCATCCGGTTATCAGTGAACCTATATATGCATATATGTGTATAGATGATGTGAATAACATATAAACGCAAGAGTAATTGACACATGCAGCTTAATAAATCAGTGCTGAAAATTATATTTTTCTCGAAACTCCAACTATTAGCGCCGTAATCAATAATATGCAAATACATAATTGGCCACACAACAAAAAAAACAACTGGACAATCAAAAAAGTTTTTCTTTGATTTTTCATTTCAATTAAAATCATTTGCATGTGATTTTCCTCTGTCGCACTGGTTATATATAAATACACATGAGTGGATAAGGTCAATGTTAATAGTAGTGATAGTAATAATAGTGAGCAAATTCTTGGTAAAAGAATGATTTCATGCGCACAAATTATATATTTATACATAGATTTGCATTTATCTTATACGATGACGAATTATTCATGCCTCTAGACAATTTATTCTTCATGTAGATTTGTTTGCTGTTTGTCTGTGTTTGTAGAGAAGGGTGAGGAAGAAATCAACTAATACTATTAGGATTGATATTAATTTACATGCCATGAGTAGAAAATCAATCCCTTTCATCATTACCCTTTTCTCACACTTCATAAGCAAACAATAACAAATAGAAGTGACGTAGACGAGAAATATGAAATATCTCTCCTCATTTTAAACGAGACCAGTGGCTAAAGAAAAAGTAGAATTTGGTATTAGGTCATTACCACCACTGTACATAGCCACCACCATTACTACTCTACTTGAGGTCATCAAACAGAAACGTTCACATTGATGAAGTAAAATTATAGTTTATTACGACCTTAATATTATCAAGAAAAAACCATAAAAATAAGCAATTAAGTACTAGATGATGACTGAATTAACGTCAACACACACACATGTTCACTGGACGAATGTCGAATATGATAAAGGAATAACACTGAACAATCTAATTATGATTACGTAATCCCGTTCATCCGTACATCTTATAACAAAATAGATTGATTCAAACTATAGTCCCCCAAATAACCGATGTGGCACAATAATATATCAGTAGGCATGACAACAGTTCAACGGTAATTCAATTGTTACGAAATATTGAGTATAGAAGAACGCAGTCGAATAATTCAATATTAGCTAGATAAAAAAACTCGTGCATAGAGGAAAGTATTGACAATCCATCGATTCAAATCTGATTTTTGTGCTCAGAAGTAGTATATTCAACTCCTTAGTTTGCTATAGTCTTAACACTTCGTTATTGAATTTGTAGATTGTTCCTTTGATGCATGTTTATTCATTTTCTGTATCTTAGCTATTGTTGTCAAATAGACAACTTTGTACCTCACTTTTATCTGTTCATTTCATTTTTATTGGACTTCGACTATACTATAAATTTGAACCTTGATCCTCTGTTAATGATACAACAATTACTCTTTTTCTTATTACAAACCATTGCATGTAAGAAAATAACCATAAATATGATTGCACAATTCTAGTAAATGACATAGTTGAAAACGAAATTCTGGTTGAAGGTGGTCGATAAGAAAACCTGGACCTATCATGTTTGTATTCTCCTTAGACCTGGTATAATTCCATTCAATAGATATGTCTTGATGATGAGTGCCAACTAGCATGAAACTTAGGTTCATAGATTCCTTCTGACTATCTCTTAATATCAAAACATAGTGGTATTTGATATCGAGTCACATCGATTGGTGGTGAAATTGCGACTAGAACGTTATAGGATTACAATTCCAACTATTTGCAGACAGATGATATCTTCGCTGAGATATGTGCATCTCCTGCAATCCCCACCCTGGATTTCAGTGTTGACACAATCCATCTATTCCAAATTATCCAAGGTGTTAGGATAACTACTTTTGTTTCCATACGATAACTTTTATTCGTTCATTCCAAATTGGCTATATCTATGACTGGTTATAATGAGACAGAGGAAGAGAGAACCATAAATTTTGTGACAACGCAACCGATCGGTTATTTGATTAGTTTAATCTAATTCACCTTTGATACTTTTGTGATGTGAGCTACTTATGCCGACAGACATAAGTAGTATGTGGCAGGAATTGGAATGCATGCCAACAGAAGATTGAGATAAGAGAATAGGAAAGGAAACAGAGATTAATCAGAATAGCGGAACTGGAAGAATGATGGAGCATGTAAAGGATAACACAAGGAAGATGTGCAGATGGTGTATTTTAATGTATGATTTTCATATTTTACAAAGGCGCTGTGTAATTTTGCATTAAAAAATTAATTGACTTTTCA